TCCTTTCCTGTCTCCCTCCCTCCCTGCCTCCACCCTTTTGTGAGGCTGACTCAGAGCCAGGCCCAGGAGCAAGGCAGCCCCACGGGGAAAACAAGTCTCAGGCATGAGAAACTAACCCCGGACTCCAGGTGAGCAGGACCGATGCCGGGCCTCAGCGTAGTAGCAGTGATCCCTCTGGGGAGAGCAGACCAGCCTGGACTGGGGACCCCAGGGTTAGCTCCCCTCCAGATGCCCCTGGCCCTGCGGGAACAGGCCCTGGACGGACAGGCTCGAGCTCCTGGCAAGTGTCCAGCTCGCCCTGTGAGGGTGGGTGGCTTATTCCTCTTACGTCTCCCACCGCCCCGCCCATCAGCGTCCCCCTTCCACAGCTGGGAGTGGGGGGGGCTGTGGTCCGCTCCCCCGGGGACCCACACCGTGGTCTTCACGTGGGCTCCTGAGTCCCTGCCGTGTTCCACAGACCCTGCTGCTGATAAACGGACTACCGGGTCCAGCTCAGAACTAGCCAGAGTCCCCAGGGTGGCGTCTGAGCCTGTGTGGGATTATGGAACATCCCCCCCCCCCCCGACCCCTCAGGGCGCTCTCCAGGTCTGGAGCCCCCCAGTCTATGGTGAGCCGGGGGTGGCCGGTGCCACAGCGGCCCCTGACAGGCCCGAGCTCATCTGGCATCTTGTAGGCAGGTCCCGTGTGAGGTCAACAGACAGCACAATCCCACCATGCTGCGGGAGCAGACAGGGGAGGGACTGATCACGCCTGGGAAGCTGGGAGGGCTTCCTGCACGAGGGGGCCTTGAGAGGGGATGGGAACGTGAGGAGGTGAAGCCCTGAAGGGCGTCCAGGGGAGGGGTCCGCGGCTGGGGTCCCAGCTTGAGCTGGAGCTCAAGGCCCGTGGGTGCAGCAAAGCAGCCCCGTGTGGCCGGGGTGATACGATGGTCGGGGGTAGAGCGTGACGGGCCACAGGTGCACGGAGGGCTGGACACCTCGGGACGCTGGGGAGCCAGGGACGGCTTTGGGCACAGGAGCGATGGTCACCATGGAAACAGGACCAGGGGGAGCGCCGCGGCCTCTGTCCAGTACACACTATGCTGGTCGTGTCTGGACTCCTCCTTTCCCGCCTTGGGACGGCCCTCGTTTCAGTTCTTGTCCCCCCGTCACGGGTGGGGCCTGGAGGGGGTTGCACGGCCCAGGTCGGACTGGACTCGGGTGGGGGTGTGAGCGAAGGCCAAGGAGGGCGCCGAAGCAGGAGGGGGTCCGGGGTCAGGTCCTGCTGGTCGCTGGTTGGACGGGAGGCCGCTCACGGGAGCAGGAAGGGCGACGGGGACAGCCGAGGAGGCAGAGGTGGCCTGTCCTCGGCAGGGAAGCCCGAGTGACGTGGAGGCCTCTGGGACGGGGGCCAGTTTGGTGGTGGGCGAGCGGTGCCTGCGGGCCGTCCAGGGACACGTCCCGACTCATGGGGCTCCGCCCCCCCGCGTGTGGCTCCACCGTCCTTCCCCGGGGTCCCGGCGCTGCTCAGGACGGCTGCGGGGGGGTGGGGGGGGCGGGGGCGGCTGCGGGGTGGGGGGGCTGGACCTGCGATGCCGTCCGTCCGCAGGCACTGGCAGGATCTGGGCTACCTGATCCTGTACATCACGGGGCGGCCGGACATGCAGAAGCAGCGGGTGGTGTCCTGGCTGTGCCAGCACAACTTTCCACAGGGCATGATCTTCTTCTCCGACGGGCTGGTGCACGACCCCCTGCGGCAGAAGGCCATCTTCCTCCGCAACCTCGTGCAGGAGGTGAGTGCGGGCCGGAGGCCAGACCCGCCCTCCACCTGCAGGTGCTGGGAGCCTCCACGGCCCCCACCCCCACCCCGAGGTGGGCACTGTCACCCGCGGGGACAGAGGAGGGCGGGGAGGCTCCCTGAGGCTCGGTGACTCCCCCACGATCCCCGAGTCCGCATCTCCTCCTTTACCTCCTGACCCCAAAGCCCGAACTCCGTCTCTACGCCCGGTTATTCGTTCAGCCGACGCGTGCCCGCCACGCTCCTTCGGGGTCCTGGCGTCGGCGGCACGGGCTGGCATCTGCTCTCCTTCCGGAGCTTTGACCTGTGGCCCCAGCACGGCGTCCCCTGGGAGCTGCTCAGAAATGTCGATTCCCTGCCCCCCCCCCCCCGGCCCCCACTCACCCCAGACCCGCTGCATCAGAAACTGGGGAAAGGGCCCAGCGGTCTGCATCTTGACAGACCCTCCGGGGGGATTTCAATGATGGTAACATTTTGAGAACCAGTGATCTGTGGCCCAGGGGCTGAGCCCAGCCGGTAGCCCTTCTTCTACGTGACCTTGGCCTGAGAACGGTGTTTATAGTTTTAAATGGTTGGGGGTTGGGGGCGGGGATCAAAAGGAGAATGCTATCTCATGATGCGACAGCGGTACGAAAGTCCGATCTCGCTGCCTGCGAAGGCAGATGCGTTGGGACACGGCCACGCTCCCTGCTGGCCACGCTCCCTGCTGGCACGGTGTGCGTGGCTGCTCGGAGCCACAAAGGAAGAGTGTGGTTGCAGCACAGCGCAAAGCCTGAGATACCGATTATCTGGTCTTTCGCAACAACGTCAATCAATCCCTGATCCAGAGGAAGAAAGATGTGTAAATCTTTACCAGTGGGTGATTAGTAAAGGCCTCTTGTCATGCAGAGGAGCTTGGCCTGGGGAGGGCAGAGAAGGCTTCCAGGGGTTGGTAACTCTTGAGCTGAGTCTTGAATCAGGAATAGGAGTTTGCCTGGCAGACACAAACAGAACGTGCAAAGGCACTGAGGTAGAAGAGAGCCTCGGATGTTCTTAGAGCTGCGGGCATGCAGGATGCTGGTGTGCACAGGGTCAGACCCAGGTCGCATGGGAGCAGAGGCCTGGAGGTCATCGGGGGTCTGAGGGTTGGCAGACCTTGGAAAACCTTGGCCAAGACCGTGAACTCCTCTGAGGGCAGTGGGGAGCCGGGGAGCGGCAGTGACCGATTAGGGCTGCAGAAAGAGCCCTGTGGTGGCTGTGTGGAGACCAGATCGGTGAGACAAGAGAGGCAGGGAGGCCAGGCGAGGCAGAGGCGGACCGGAATCCAGTGGCGGCCACGGGGATGGAGAAAACGGCATCGGGAGCGGGGATTGTCAGGTCATGCTCGGGACTGGGTGGCGGCCCCCCAGCAGGAGGTAGAACTGGGGAAGAATGTTCTGGGGGCAGCAGAAAGAAAGTTCAGGACCGGAGCTTCGTGGCCCTCCAGCGGCTCTCAGCGGCCAGCCCGTGGAACCGGGAAGGTGGTGAGAGAGCAGTCTCCCGGGCCAGGGTGCGGCCAGGCGGGCACGGGAGGGAAGGGGCAGGGTCGGCGTGGGGATGGGACGTGCAGTCCAGAGGGGCGGTTCTGGGTTTGGTCCTGGAGGCCGCTGGCCGTGAAGATGGCAGGAGGGAGGCCGAGGTGCTCGTGGGTCACCCCGCGAGCGGGAGGTCCCCCGGGGCTGATGGGGCTCAGGAGGCAGGGAAACTGTGACCTGGGACCAGAGGGTGGGGCTCAAGGTGAGCAGCCGGAGGGCGAGGGGCTGGGGGGCGAGTGAGCATTGGGACACGGCCACCGGACGGAGGCACTCCGCACCAGTCTGGGGTGGTGCGGACGGCACAGGGCGGGGGGTCAGGCCCAGACAGAACCCCTCCAGTCCTGTGACACGTAGAGCCGCCCCTCGTTCCCTCGTCCGTGTCTTTGCCCGTCACCCAGTGGCCTAGGAACGCCGACGGGGTCAGCAGGTGGCGTGGTCCCGACCTCCCCAGACAGAGCCCTCGAACTGGGGCGCAGGGCGGGGCGGGAGGGGAGCTCCTGCAGGGCCGCGTCCTGCCGCGGGGTGGCCCCGGGACCTGGAGCCTCCCCCCCCCCCCCCGTGCGGAATCGGGTCCTCTGACCCCGTGTGCGCCCGCCCCTCCACGGGCTGCCCTGCGTTTCAGTGTTTCATCAGAATCAGCGCGGCCTACGGCTCCACTAAGGACATCTCCGTGTACAGTGTGCTGGGTCTGCTGCCCTCCCAGATCTTCATCGTGGGCCGGCCCACCAAGAAGTACCAGGCCCAGTGCCAGGTGGGGGCGCCGGGCCGGGTGGGGGCGGCGTGGGCGGGGTCTGCCGTCCATTCAGTCGTTTTTGTTCATTCCTTCATTTGCCCACTCACTCATCTGTTCATCCGTTCACTCGCCGTTTCCACGTGCACCATGGGCATCGGTCCTGGGCCAGGCCCTGGTGCCGTCGGATGTCCCATCATCCAGGCGGCAGTGCCCGTGGCAAGAGGCCTAATGGATGATGGGGGGCACGGGGTCGTGACCCCCCCCCCCCGGGGAGGAACAGAGACGATGGGGGCAAGGCTGCTTTGGGGGGTTCGAGGGAATTGTCCAGGGGGCTTGAGGTGGGAGGAGCATTTGTGACAGAGGTCGCCGCAAAAGTGAAGGTCAGGAGGTGACGGAGCAGGTGTCCCCCCCCGGGCGGGAGCAGGAGAGGGGGGCCCGCAGTGCCTGGCAGCCTCGGCGGGCTGGGACTTGGGGGGTGAGTCGTGATTCCTGCGGTCCCCAGGCTGCAGGGGGAAGGCCCGTCAGAGGAAGGGGGCAGGGAAGCAAGGGGAGGCGGTGGCCGGCGGGAAGGTGAAGGGCCCCAGAGTCACTTCGGAGACAGGACTGAGGGACTGGACTTGGAAATGAACGGGTCAGAGGTGTGGGCTGAGCGGGAGCGAAGGCCAGGGGTGGCGCCTGGTTTCTGGGAGCGCGATCAGCTCAGGGGTGCCGTTCGGGGGACTGAGAGCAGGTTGGAGAAGGAGGGGTGGGGGGGGAGGTGACGACCCCTTTGGGGGCGTGCTGAGTGCGGGGCGTGGGAGCCACCGGCAGGTGCAGACGGGAGACACTGATGCATACACGTGGCCCCCGGGGGCTTGCGTGCGTGCAGACTCTG